CGGCGGTGGCGGGCGGGGGCCGGCAGGTGGCGCTGTGACCCCGCGAAAGACAGCCCTCCAGCCCGCCCGCCATCAAGCGCTCGGCCGCCTCCCCGAAAAGCTCCTAAAATGTCGACTTTACGGGAGCATAACCGGGGCTGGAAACGCCGGTTTGGTTTTAACAAAGGCCCAGGGGGATGAGGGTGGGTGTCTCCCCCCCAAACTTATCCTGGGAATAGGGTGAGGGATGCCAGCGGGCGCGGTTGGGGTGACATTCACCACGCTGGCTGCACTCGTGGCAAAAGTCAAGCTTGCCCTGCACCAAGGACATACCCTGCATTTATTATTCTCCAAACACCTATTAGTTAAGAGGGGCAGGTGGAGCCATGGCACAGAAGTGCCAGCTCCTCTTTCCCTGGCCCCAAATTTTCCCCCTTCTCTGGTAAAGCTCTGAGCCTGCAAAAACGGGGGTGTCCTGACCCCCCGAAGGGCTGGCGAGAAATGAAACGTTTGGAGAAAGGGGGGATTGAAGTGTTCGGGTGGGATGGAAGAGGGGATCAGCGCAGGAGAAGAGCCCCCGAAGAGCCTCACGCGGATTTTCCGACGCCCTTCTACGCCCCACGTAGCCGGAGACACAGCCGTGCCCGGGAAACGGCAGCGCCGCAAACCTCTCCTCCTTTGAAATTATTTACCGGCGAAAAAATTATTCCTCAACAGCTGTCTTTGGTACAAATAAAAAGCCCTGCTTGTGTCCCCAGCAGTTTCAGCTCTGTGGGACCCGTTGTAATTATATGACCCAGATGCGAGCAGGCTGATGCTCTGCAAACTTGACGTGTCTCTCAAAGTCATTCCTAACTTCTCCTCGCCTTCTATTTTGATTTCCTCGAGTCGTTTCCTATTTCTTTTTTTTTTTTTTTCTGTTTTGCTTTCGTTGGCTTTCGCGTCTTGAGAATGAGGCTTAGTGAGGAATTGTGGAGTATTTTCAGACGGCAGTCGCCAGAAGAGAGGAGGAAAAAGTAATTGGAATGAAAATAAAGGCGGGAGGAAAGGAAGCATAAAACGTGGGCTGAAGTATGAACGTTGTATTTTTCAAGTTAAAGCCAGACAAGTAAACAAATCGCTGCATAGTACCCCGTAACAGAACTACTTTCTCTGTGTTTCATTTACATTTCCTTAAATCAAAGCCAATCTCTTCATATCGAAATTCAGCATCGGGAAGGAATGTGAGCACTGAGCTATTTTTTCCCCGCACGGTTTCAAAGATTTAATTCTTTCCAGGGATAAAGAGTAACAGCCACTCCCTGCTTTCTAACAAGAGCCTTCCTATCAAATGTTTGTCTACAATGACATTGCTAAACTTATTATGATTCATTATTTTTTTTCCTTGGGCAATAAAATTATATTGAAATTAAAAAGTGTTTATGCATCGTCATACTAAGTAATAACTTGGCACAGTAGGCTCCATTATAATCGCGGATAAATTACGGCAAGAACAGATTCCAAAACAACAAAATCCTCCCTAGTATGAACCACATGAAGACGCTGCTTAATACACAAGCCATAATCATGTAGTGCTCCCAGGTCGCTTATAACTTACGAGCACCGTTTTATCACTACCTTTTACTTCCCGGAAAAGCTCAGAAGGCAAAGAGAGGTAGTCCAGAGCTCGCAAGGAAAGAAAAAAAAATAATATATAAATACAATGAACGTCGCCCGGAGGAATATTTTTAAAGCGTGCGAGAATATTGCGGTGACCGAAACCTTGCAATCTGCGCTCGTTCGCCGTTTCCTAGACAGGAAAAAAAAAATAAAATACATTGAAATGAAAAGTGCGTTTTCGGGCGCGGGGATACAGCCTGGTTTTGTGTGCGACAAAACGAGAGGTTTCAGAGGCTGTTTCAGAGGCAGCGTTATGCCCAACACGCAGAAGGTGGGGGAAGTAAATAAGGTGGCGGGGACCCGCGTCTGGGGGTCCTTTTAGGATTTATTCAGTGAAGACGCTTTGAGAAATCTTAAGGGTAAAAAAAAAAAGCTGGAAGCGAAATATATATATATATATA